CCCTTGATCTCCCAGATGACTGTGTATTACCAGGATCACAGCGCTGTACTCCACTGCCGCATGTGTTTGTGGCGGATGAAGCATTTCCCCTCCAGAGAAACCTCCTGCATCCCTTTCCTGGGTGCAATCTCTCCAGGGAAAAACGGATTTTTAACTATTGTCTCAGTCGTGCCAGGTTGACTGTGGAGTGTGCCTTTGGCATACTAACAAGCCAATGGCGAATGTACCATCGATTGCTCACTATCAACCCAGCAAAGGCAGAGGTGTGTGTGAAGGCCACCTGCATCCTCCATAACTTTCTCAGGATGTCTAGAAGAGGGACCACAAACCACCCATGTGTTTCTTCTTGTCAAAAAGAGGGGTCAGCAGCACTACAGGAGGCTCCAAGACTGGGAAGCAACAGTGCTGCATGTGTTGCCATTCGCATCAGAGATGCATTTTGTACTTATTTCTGTGCAGAGGATTCTGTGACATGGCAACAAAAAAAAGTTTGAGTTTTGCAGAAAACGCTTATTGCAATGTCATTTTGCTTCTCAAATAAATGTACCTTCATTAAAAAATTATACTTTAAAAGAAGATGGTTATTAAAGGGTTCTTTACCCAAATGAGTTACTAATGTAGCTTTTGAAATCAAAATCTAATTGTACAGTATAATAATTGTTAGATCAATGAAAAATTGATAATGCTCTTCTATTGTTTGTTCTGAATAAAATCATCTCCTACTTTTGCATCATACATTTTGCATTGTTTATTTTTATTTGTAACAGGACATGTGAACAGCTCAGTTTAGTTAGGGATCCGTCTTGAGTCCTTCAAAAGCAAGTGATATTGAACTGAATTTTGAATAAAAAATGTATTCTACAACAAAAACAAGTATTATCTGGTACTGTTGAAAGCCATTTTTCTTACTAAAAAAGATGTAGGCTATGTGAGAAGTAGTATGTGAGATGTGCTTTTATATTTGAGGTGAACCATCTACTTTTGTCTGTTGCATTCATAAAACTATGTTTATATTTCAGTGCATCAGTATATATTAAAAACTGCAAATCAATAGCCTATTGTAAATATGTGAGGCTGGCTTTAATTATAGCCTATACTTATTGTGGATTATGACAAAAACAGATGTCACTTTTACTACTTTTGAACCTACCAGGAACACAGACAGTCTCTGCCACTTTGCGCCATGCTTCGTTTTTCACTGCTGTGTCTCTATATGAATACAGAGATGTATCATACAGTACCGGGAAAGAACACACAGCAACAATCAGCTTCTCTTCCATTGTGCTGCTTGCAAATTAACCAGTTGGAAGACAGCGTGTTTACACATTTATCATATGTGCATTGTTTAATGGCTGCTTTGAAGAAATTATCAATAAATAAACACACCCTGCGTCCCAATGTTCATACTATCCATCCTAAATAATATGTGAGATTAGAATAAGTGTGTCCCAAAGCATAGTATGTTGAAAAGAGTATGCCAAAGGTCCCCGGATGGTCTACTATTTCGGGTTGATTTTTGAAGTGTGGATCCGTGCACACTCTAATGGCTAATATTACCCACAATCCATTGCACTTTGACAAATGATTGGTTGAGAACTACAAACACGAATAAAAAGCATTAAAAACTACAAATATGGTGGATGTGCGCGACCGATGGTTAAGTAGAGAGGTTAAGATAAAGGGGTTTGAGTTACTAATAATCAACATTTAACCTGGTAAAAAATATTTATTTAATGTTATCTGTGTTATATTTCATCTGCAATAGCAATATGAACTTTTATAAACATCCATTTGTTCGTTAACTTTTAAATGCATCATTATGAAGAAAATATGAAGACCCATGGCTCGCAGATCAATGTGCTACTTCTTTTCTCTCTGGTATGGTAGGAAGTGAAATGAAATAAAATGTGGAGAATATTAACTGTGACAAGATGATTGACAGGCCAGTTTACAGTGTAACTGTGAGACAGAGCGCTCCGTTAAAGATGCAACTGTATGACGTGATAGTATGTCCCAAAGCTTGCCTACTCTTCTACTACACACTCAAAAGTGTGTACTTTTTCTTCACCAAAAAAGTACATACTTTAAGGGCGTGGTATAAGTAGGCACATTGGGACGCAGCAACAGGCATGTACATGGTTTGGCAGAAGGCGAAACATTTATTACAATATGTTTGTGTAAACTTAAAGGTGTGAAGGAAGACATTTTCATTATACATGTAATAGGCCTATATACAATGACAGTTTCATACGGTTTCACTCACCCATCCATTGCATATAATGAAAGCATGCAAAGTGCATTTACTTTTGCATATGACTTTTTTGAACGACAAGTGATTTCAGCTCAGTAATCCACCAGTTCAGCAAACACTCGGAAACATATGCTACGTCAAAATCTTGCCTTGCCTACATGTCACAGCGATTGGTTGTCGCCCGGCGTTTTTTGTTCATTATTTGCATAAAGTCGAGGAATGCCCAACCATTTTGACGCTCTCGGCCGCTCTCAACGCTTTCTCCAAGCCGCTTTCAATCCCATAATGCACCGCGCAAGCGTTTACGCTCAGCTTCCATAGGAATTAATTGAAAACGCTCGCTCCGCTGCGCTTGCTACGTGCCAGTGGAAACACACTGTTAGTGAACGCATATGGTAAACGCATCTGTTCAGTGAGCTTGCGCCGCGCGGGAGTTTGAACTTTGATCCGAGCAGATAAACGGTTAGTGTGGTAGCTGTTTCGTTCTGCTTTTGGCGCATAAACATTATAGCAAACATTTATAGAACTCTTAATTTCGTTTTATTGAGGAAAATTATATCGCGATAATTATCGTTATCAAATTATTGCCCAGTCCTAGTAATAAGTATTAATATTAAGTATTAATATTTACATATCTATCCATCTAGTAAAGTAACTTTTAAGTAAATTAACTGCAAAAGTGTTTTATACTAATTCACAAATTCGATTTCATTTTATTTCAAAGAATTTTATCCACATATTTTAACCCCTTAACTCACAAAGATTGACAACGGCCTCAGATTATTGTTGATTCACTTTCACAGCATGTTAAAACATCACACTCTTACTTGATCTGGACCAACTGTGCATCATTAGAAAGATTAAAGACTATAGCTTTGATATTTGACCACTGTTTTGATAAAACATTGTCGCGGTGACGGTAATTGATTAATTTATGTCAGGAGTGCAAAATAATAAATCCGTATGTGTCATATTTGGAATAAAAATTCACCAGGCATTCATATTCAGTCATGTCTGCAGCGGTTTATTTGTGTTCACATAGCTTCACTGAACAGCATCAATAGGGATTATAGTCCAAAGAGGCATATACATTGAGATATATAGATATATTTACACGTTTACTTCATATTTCTTCAGACAGAATCATCATTTCTATTCATTTTCCACTGATTTACGCGATCTGATGAAAACTAGCAGCTCCCTGGGCTGTCTCGGTGTGTTTACTCTTCCGTGCTCACGTTCTGACTCAGAGGAAACCTGATTCGCCCGTCGCTTGTCAATCATAACTGCGCATCATATCCCGTCCCGTCTCATCCCGTGATGCGCTTCTGCGTTCAGATCTGACCACAACAAACAAACAGAAACGTCTTTACCCACGAAATATCCAAATAATAAACACATGATTATGATAGTATGTGTTTTGAATGTGATTTTCTTGATATTTGGGGTATTTCATAACAATAAAGAATGTGTACATCTGAAATGCTAATTTGTGCAGCGATATAAAAGTCTATAAATAGCATATTTCAACAACAATAAATGACCAAATTCCACATGAGATTGCAAAGGAAGTTATTACAAACACTTGATGGTGGTTTAAAGTAAGTTTTGAGTAAAAGTGTACTAATAATGTCATAAATTGTCTTATGTAGCTTGAAATGTATATTTGGATCGAAGCGATGTGGCTTGGTAAACCTTGTAATGCCAGAATAAAGGCTACTAATGGCTGAATAAAACAAAAGAACAATGATAAAGGAATAATGAGGATTATGTCTCAATCCTGGCGGAGCCGTGAAAGGTTTGTCGAGTGAGAACAATAGAATCATGAATGGGGCAGTTTGCCGGGCCAGACATGAGGCAAAAGCATGCAAGAGAGCTTACAGAGCCAGGACATTTTTTTTTTAAAATATACTTTTATTAGCCTTCTCTAAAAACACACATGACATGGTTTTACAAAATGTTTCATAAAATGCACAGTTTTACAGATAATGTCCTCAGATTTGAAATTAAACATGAGTAGACTTGTGGCTTTAGCTTCATTATGTTGCTGTGGTAAATGCTTTTAGAAACAAAACTTTTTATACATTTAAATTATTTGTATGTTTTAGTCTGTGTTTTATATAAAACAAGGTTTATCGCAGCTTCATTAAATAAATGCCGTTATGATATACAGTGGGTACGGAAAGTATTCAGACCCCCTTAAATTTTTCACTCTTTGTTATATTGCAGAATAAACACCAAGAAAATGAGCCTAGTGTGGCAATTAACATCTGAAATCATCAGCATAATGAATGAGGTGAAAACAGGATCTATCGACATGAAATAAAGAGGATTTTCAGCAGCTGATAATATTGATGAGCCTCAGGCTATAAACACTCATTAAACAAGCCATTCAGGATCAGCAGCAGATCATCTCACTTTATTCTGAGTGTTTGCTGATAGAAACTGATCGTTTGAGTCAATCATTTATGCTGAAAGCCCATTAAAGCGCTCCATTGAAAAATATTACAATTATTTCTGAAATGATACAGAAAAAATACCACTAATATAAGACAGTGAAAACTACTTTTATCAGACGACTTTTATCAGATATGATTTGTCCATATGAATCTAAATACACTTAGTTTTTCTAATAACTACATTCATAACAACAAAATAGTTCCCTCCGTTTACAAGCCTTCTTTAGATACCAATAAGTGTTAGCAGGCAATAGTACTGAGACAGATAAAAACTATTCAGAAATTACCCCGTAAAACTATGTAGCGTGTATTTTACAATTACATGAAACAGCGTGAACTGCTTCTCTGTTTCTGCCATGTGATGGGCATCCTGAGGTAACTAAGAATTAGTGCTTTGCAACGATTTGTATTGTGAAAATCGCTATACTAAGAAACGTGAATTGAACTGAATTTACAGTGATTGTTGTTTGTATGATTAAATGACTCTGATGAATGCCTGAAACTCTTCCCACATGCAGTGCAGTGATATGGTTTCTCTCCAGTGTGAATCCTCTCATGTCTTTTCAGGTTATCTGACCGACTGAATGTCTTGTCGCAGTGTGAACACTTGTAAGGTTTCTCTCCAGTGTGAATCCTCTCATGTCTTTTCAGGGTATCTGACCGACTGAATGTCTTGTCGCAGTGTGAACACTTGTAAGGTTTCTCTCCAGTGTGAATCCTCTCATGTGATTTCAGATTTTCTAACCGACTGAATCTCTTGTCGCAGTGTGAACACTTGTAAGGTTTCTCTCCAGTGTGGATCCTCTGGTGCTGCTTCAATTCTGTAACCGTAATAAAAATCTCCTCACACTCAAAGCACATATGATCTCTCACACCAGTATGTCTCTTCTGATGAACTTTTAAATTCTGCAGATATGAAAAACTCTTTCCACACAAAGAACATGAATGTGGTTTCTCCTTTGAATGAACTTTCAGGTGATCCTTCAGGCTTGAAGCCCTCAAAAATGTTTTTCCGCATTGATCACATGGGTGCAGTTTTTCTCCAGTGTGGATGATCATGTGGTTATTAAGGTTTACTTTTTGTGTGAAACTCTTCCCGCACTGATCACAAGTGAATGGTTTCTCTCTAGTGTGGATCCTCATGTGAACACTGATATTCCCTTTGCATGTGAAACTCTTTCCACACTGAGTGCAGGTGAAACTTTTCTTGTCTCTACTTTTCAGTAAAGAAATACTTTCTGTCTGTGAGCAAGTTTTTTCTCTACTTTTGACATCATGATGTTTCTGCTCTTCACTCTCCTCCAGCAGGGCTGAAATGAAAGTAAAAAAGTTACAATAAATTAATCATAAGAAAAATCTGAGAAATATGAAGCAGACAAGGGCTACACAAAATGTATGATCATTTTGATGTATTTTTATAAATCTCTTTCTATGAACAAGGTACACTTACCTTCAAATTATTACTTTTTTTAACATTAAAGGCATGAATCCAATGATTCTGTAGTGAGAACTAATCAATGTTTGATCAACTCCACAATTATCTAATATAATAATAACATTAATAAACTATACAATAGGGCTACAGTTTCTCAGATGGATATTCAGTTGACGAATTAACTAATTTTAAACTGACAATTTATTAGCTGTCCTACACTGTTCACTCAACACTGTTACAATACAATTTCTTCTTGGTATAAAACAAGGAAAACATTTATGTAACATACATTACATAAATTGTATCTATATATCTAAATAAAAATAGACTATAGATATACAGTATATGATCAAAAGTAACTAGTAACTAACTACTTGAGTAGTTTTTTTTTATCCAATACTTTTTTACTCAAGTAACTATTCAGACTATTACTTTTAGTTTTTACTTTTACTTGAGTACAGTTTTTGGGTAATCTACCCACCTGTAACAAACCATACATCAATGCTTTAAAAAAGCTCATTTATTCAGCTTTCAGATGATGTTAAAATCTCAGTTTCAAAAAATTGACCCTTATGACTGGTTTTGTGGTCCAGGGTCACAAATAAGGAAAATCAGTGTCAAGAGTTGTAAAGTGTATTTTCAGCATGTCCCAAATTCTGATTACAAGTTTACAAAATCTTGAACTGACCATTTCATCAAAATAGGAAAATGAAAGACAATTCAGTTTCAGGCCCTGCTCTGTTTCCAGCACAAAGAAAGTTTCCACTATATTATTTATTAGTTTAACTGTGTTTTTCTACTATCTGATGAACTGCTGATAACCTTAATGTCCTTCAGCCTCATTAATGAAGGATGAAGAATAATCACCAACCTGTTTGTTCTTCAGTGTGTTTCATTCTGCAGGGTTCTGGATCTCTCATGTTCTCTCTGTCCTTCAATAAACTCTGTCTCTGCAGATTTCACTTCTTCCTGATGCTTTGATGCTCGTCTTCACTTGTAGACTGATGGGAATATTCCAGCATTTATTGCTGAACTGCAGTGGGAGGAGCTTCAGTGAAGGTGTGATTGTTGTGGGAGGAGCTTCACTGAAGGAGGAGCAGATCTGCCAAAATTAAAGATCAGTTACTGAGTTTATTTTTTACATCAATTCACACAATTTAATTATTTATGTTCAAATATCAATATATTTTAAGTAAATTAATTGCAAAGTGTTTTAGAATAATCCACAAATTCTCTTTTTATTTTTAAAATATTTCATCCACATATTTTATTCCTACATTTTATCTTACCTCTCATTAACATATAGCCTTTAAATAATGCCAAATATAAACAATGTAAGAAAATATGAAAATAAACAAACTTAGGAAAATAAAAGTACAAATTTGCAAAAAACAAAGAACCTACCAGTGGAGTTTAACTTAACAACTTGTATTTATTTATTGTGTTTTAGTTTTGTGTATAAAGCATGGTTTATTACAGATTTATGAAATAAATTATGTTATGATACCTATAATGTCAAAATAGCTGATTGTGTTGTTTGCTTAAGTCTGTTGACAGCAATAAAATGAGCTTAATGTGGCAATTAACAGATCTCAAGTCATCAGCATAATGAATGAGGTGAAAACAGGATCTATTGACATGAAATAAAGAGGATTTTCAGCAGCTGATAATATTGATGATCCTCAGACTATAAACACTCATTAAACAAGCCATTCAGGATCAGCAGCAGATCATCTCACTTTATTCTGAGTGTTTGCTGATAGAAACTGATTGTTTGAGTCAGAATATATGCTGAAAGCCCATAAAAGTGCTCTAATATTACTATTATTTACCAAATGATACAGAAAATAGCAGTAATATAAAGATAATGAGACAGACCTCCCTCTTTATTGACTAACAATATAGCAAAGCATCTTAAGCGGATCAGGGGCCCGTTTCAATAAGGAGGTTCAACCAACTCTGAGTTAAAACGTGAACTCTGAGTTGACTTACCCTGAAATGGGAATCGTACCCTGAAGTGGGAGTTTTCGGTTTCAGAACAGCTGAATTGTGTTAGTTCTATCCGCTCTGAGTAGGTTGACTCTGAATTTAGTGCGTGCACCACGACTTTGGGAAGTCATGATCAGTGGAGCTCCGAAATTATGATTCACCCTGAAAACAGCACCCAACAAAAAGAGGTCTGCATACTTCAGAGTCAATACCTAACTTTAATTCTTAATCACGGGTTACAATATCAGAGGTGAAAACTGTAAATGATTGAACTAATAATCATTTTCATGGTATTCCGTGGCAAAAAAAAAAAGAACATGACAACAGCTAAAAATGAAGTATAAAAACAATTCAAAAGCTTTAAGCATAAAAGGTTCATGGGTGTAGGCTACATGACTTTACAAACATTTGACATATTAAATATAATTCCGTGTCTATTTCAATAGGCAGCAGATTTTTCCACAAAATCTAACGCTCTTTTCACATAATTAAACATTCTCTAAACCAACTAATCCAAAATTAGTGTAATGAAATTAACATCTGACTTGTAGGCCTACTCAGTCAACAGCAAGAAGACAGAGGCTCGCAAAATGGGCAGAAGAACCTGCACCAGCACCACTGACAGATGAAGAGGAGATGGTCAAGTATTGGAAGATTTTTAAAAGGAAAAAGGATAATTGTTGCTTTTGTATTTGTAGGAAATAAAGATGACCAAATAAATAATGAATAATTTGTGTTTATTTAACAGCTGTGGTGGTTACGGCATATATCTCATACTACACTTCCATCTGGCATCCTTCCATTCCATACAGTAATCCGTTTCACTTTCAGAAGGTGCGATGACGGGAATATGCGTGTCAACAATGCATTCAACCACACTGGAAATCCTGAAGGAAATTCTAATTATTGGGTTACTTCCAGAGGTCGCAGGATGTTATCAAGGGAACGTCATTCATCAGATTAGCCTTATTTAAACCGATTTCTACACCACTGACCTGCAGTCCTGTGAAACTACTCTTTGACGAGTTTGTGCCCATGAAACAACACAAAAATTCTCGGAATGAGCGTGAGGCGAGGCACACTTTCCTTATTAGTCTGCATACAGCGGCCTTACTAATGTGCTCTGCATCTTCAATGTTTTATAGAAAACTACCATTTAAAAATGTTACCACTCAAATAAATATGCATGTAAAAAAAAACCTCACTACGAATCAATGCATCCTCCTTGTCTACAGGATCCTGTGTAAATGGAGATGCCATTTTTTGTCAATTTGACAGTGTCTGCATGATGAAAATATGTGCAATGAATGAATACCTACAGCTACAGAACTGAAACGACACCAGAGGATACACACTGGAGAGAAACCTTACAAGTGTTCACACTGCGACAAGACATTCAGTTGGTTAGAAACCCTGAAAGCACATGAGAGGATCCACACTGGAGAGAAACCTTACAAGAGATTCATCACTGCACTGCATGTGGAAAGAGTTTCACTCATTCATCTAATCTACGCAGTCATAAAACAACTCACATTAGATAGGTTACCTTTAGGTCCATTGCTTAAAGTGCTACACCGCATCTCTTCCATATAAATCTGTCATAAGAAACATCATCTAAACTTGCCAAGACAGTGAATAAAGTTCATCTTCAAGACCAGCAGTTTCAACTTTGAGATTCAGATCAATTCAAAGATGGCGTTCCTCCCCAAAAGACCAATATCTAAAGTGTTGTTCTTGTATATAATTTTGCTTCATGATATGAATTGTATTATTGTGTTAATTTTCTCGTAATGCATATGTATCACTTGTAGTTTGTTTACACTTTTATGTACAAAAATGTAGAACATTTTCACAGGTTCAAACTGTTCTTGTTCAGGAAACTGAAAAACAGGCTGTTTTGTGTTTAATCTGATCATCACTGTTGCTCTTAAAAAACAACTAGTAGTTATTCTTCCACTTGTGGTGTATTTTAGTAAACACAGATCTGTGTAAGATAAGACATATTTTGTTATAAGGTTTGCATCTGGGACCCGTTTCAGAATGGGAGGTATGTCAAACCCGAGAAAGACGTTGTAGCCTAAACGTTTACGTATAATACGTTTTATGTTGAATCAAATAAAATATTTCTTTCTAAAGCTACAATTTGTAATGTCTACTTGATACTTTCTCATTTAAAACAAAAATAGCTTTAAATAATCTTTTGTGGGTATTTTCACAGTCAAATTTATTTTGCGATTAATTCAATTAATTAATCGACACATCATGCAATTAATTAGATTAAAAATTGTAATCGATTGACAGCCCTATAGCTTATGTTATTATATTCACCTGTATATCCATCTATAAATCTGTCTATTTAGTGAAGTAACTTTAAAGTAAATTAATCTCAAAGTTTTTAATACTGATTAACAATTTGATGTCTTTTTATTTTTTAAGAATTTCATCCACATATTTTAATTCCTACATTTATCTTGCCTCTAAAGAAATATAGAACAAACACACTTTTTAAAGGTAAACGATGATGCAATTTAAAAAAAGAAATAAACACCTAGAAATATATTTTCAAAATGTGCACGGTACACATAAACCACCATTTGAGTTTAAGTGAATTTGTTTTTATATGTTTTAGTTTTGTGTTCTATATGAAACAAGGTTTATCACAGATTCATCAAATAAATGCCGTTATGATAAAT